AGCAAACTCATTAGTCAACAGAGCCAAATATCAGTACAACGATTGAAGTTTCTTTTGAGAGCTGAAAATCGACTTCTGCATTTGGGCCATGAAGTTTCACTCGCACTGTATGTGCGTGCCCACACGCAGTATTTTGTGAAAGAGCCACATTCAAGGGGCCAAAGAGCCTCATGTGGCTCATGAAACGCAATTTGTTGACTATTAGCCTAGTGCATCCTAGCTTCTAGCACAGTGCCAAGCACACATGTGTACTCCACCCACACAGACTTTCTGTTCTTGAATGCACCATATCCATGCCCTAAGCTCAGGTCCTTACACCTGCCCTCATTCCTTCTGCCCAAGGTGCCCCACCCACCTAGTTACCTCATTCTTCACATCTCAGCTAAAAGGTTACTTCGGAAACTTTTCCCAGCCCTTCAGGCTAAGTCAGATCCCACTGTCATTGACTTGCCAAGCACAATGGACTTTTCTCCATGGCCATGGTTGGTTGGTTAGAATAGACGTGTGTGGGTGCATAGTGTCTGCTTGTCCCACTCAACTGTAAGGTCCACAAGGACAGGACCAGTGTCTCTGTGCCCACTTTGGAGTCTACCAGGTCTTGTCAGGTACCAGGTGCATAGGAAACCTTCAATGTGAATGAATGAGTGAATGCTTTCAAGAAATAGGCTTTAAGGAAACTAGAAGCCAATCTGTAAATGTGTGGTTATCTATTTTATTCCGTGACTGCCTGTCTCACTCAAACCATCATAGACTACTTTATTTGACTCTACATTTGTCTTGTTTAAGATGGTAAGTGTCCTGAGGGCAGATGCCTCTTGTTCATTTTTTTTTTTTAATCTTCTGCTTCTAATGCAAGGACCTGCATCTAATATAGAATTCCAAAAATGTATAATGACCAAACTAATCAATGTAGATTTCCTTTTGAAGAAAAGGGTGGCAGCTTCTCTACTTATTAAGTGAATTGGTTACACTCTGTCATTATCTCCCATTGAGCTCTGTTCCAGAGCAAATGTGCAACCACAATGCCCAGCACAAATGACCATCATGGTGTCTGCGTGACACCTTGTTGGCTCTGCCCGTCCAGGGTCTGTTGGTCTATGGTCAGACATTTTACAAGCGTCATTAACCTTATGTCCAACAACTGCAAAGTTGGAAAAGCATTGAATGTGCAATTTGGAGGACTTATGATCATGATGAAACTTACCGTGAAACAGTTTTACAGGATTATGGACCTATCAATGTTTGTAGAATGTTTGACGCCACAAAGATTTGGTTTTATCCAACAGGGAATGCATCTCATCCACATGGGATTTAAAACTGTGGCTCATGCAGATTCTGAGTTCGCACACACCTCCTCATCAATGAGCCAGGGCACATAATTAATTGGGCAAAAGGCTCACAGGGATTAATTAGCAGCTGTATGTGAAGAGCGTAGTTCAGACTTGCAGCATGGAGGATGGTGTTCTAGAATGGCCAGGTGTTGGATTCACAGCTCAGTCACAGCAGGGGATCTCATTGCTTGCTTGTTGAAATTTGGGGGGCTCTGGGCGCCTCTGTGGACCAGCGAGGGCACATGTGCATCCAGCTGCTGCCAGCAGAGGGCAGCAGTACGCTGTGCGTCTGCAATTTGCATCCCAGATTAGCAAATCCCCAAGGATTTATAAGGAAAGAATGTGGGTGTCCCAGGACTACCCTAAATTCTTCTGAGTGTCAACACCGGTCTGAACAATTGCAAACACAGACCTTTTACAATATCTTGGACTTTGGCTCATCTGAAATATTGAAATGAATACACAACTAGGAGCTGCCATCACAGACAGGAAGTAACTTTAATTAAATATTGTGAAAGTTGAAAAGTTTTTACAGCTTGAATTTTTGCAAAAAAAAAAAAAAATTATAACAATCTCTACAGTAGTTAGGTTCTCTAACAATTGAACTGTACAGTGTGTGTCTATTCAAAAAGTTTGATAAGAAGGTGAAAGGTTAGTAGATTTAGAGATGACTTCGTTAAGCTGCATTCTAGTACAATGTGAGGCCAGGGCATGTTATGCAATCCAGTCATCCAGAAGCTGTATTTTTCCCCCAAAACTGAAATCTTAGTTCTCTACTTCATCTTCTACTTAAAGCCATATTCTGTATTTAGGGGAACATTGTTTACTTGTAAAAGTTTTGTGTAGGAGAAAGAGGGTCAGAGGGCCAGAATGTCTTTTCATCTAATCAATATAAATAGAGGCAACAAGACACAAATTAAACGTATTTTAAAGGCTCTTTGGACTTTCAAGATAAGTTCTAACCACTACACATGGCTGAAAGATGGGTGGCGTTTGTTGTCGGGGTCTGAGCCAGACACCTCACCGGCCGACTGGCCCTTCACAAACAGTTAAGGGGCTCACCAGACAAAATATGGCTTTAAATTGTACACTTCTTCAGGCCAGTGCTTACCACACGAATTCAGACAACCTTTCCGAGTACCGAGAAGCAATGCGTCCACCTTGCTTACATTTTCCAGTTTTATTATTATTATTAATCATCATTATTATTTCTCACCATGAAAAATCAGCTTTCCTCCCCTCCTCCCTTCCCTCCCACCTCAACTCCCCTCCCTCACCCACCCCAACCCATAAAAATCGCACTCTGATAGTCTAGTGAAAACCATTGCAAAATCCATATGGGGGCATGCACATTTGCAGCATTGTTGTAAATTTCTTGCTCTACTAGAAAAAGTTACATTGTCTTAAGGTAACAAAACAGTTCTTTTGTGCTTTTCGATTTCTTTGTCTTTTTTTTTTCTTTTTCTTTTTTCTTATAATGTTAGTGATGACTGATAGTTCTGGTGCACACTTACAATGTACAAGTGAAATGGATATGATTTGCATTGTTAAGGCATCCAATCTGCTGGTTTATATTATGTGAAAGACAGAGGAAATATACAAGCAGACTTAAGAAAGAATGTTCATTGATTTCTATGAAGTTTCTCCCCCGAATTTAATGCACAAAATGCGTCACTCCAGAGGGAGAGGTTCCATGCATATTAATAGAGTAAAACAGCATTAGGGATGTGTGTTTTTGTAAGCTTCCAAAGCAAAGGATACATTTTTTTAAATCTACAGAACTAAATGCTACAAGAATAATATGCTACTTTTTTTGCCATATATTGGAAAAAACTTCTTAACTTACAAATAATACAAAAATAGACAATGGCTTTGGGGAGGAAATTTAAAAAAATTGAAGCATGGTTTAAAACAATACTAAAAATAACTATAAATGAAATGTTTAAAAATCACATTGGAACAGCTAATACAACTGTAGGTGACCAAACAAATACGCACTTTTCACATAGCAAACATACACAATAAAATAAATTGGGGGTGGGAGGAAAAGGAAGAAGGGGAAAGCAATGTACAAATTCCAAAGATAAATACATTATTTATATGGATATTTTACAAAATCCCCTTTAAAACAGAAAGCCTTTTCATTAACTTCGCAAGTATGTGCAAGCTAAAGGTAGTGAGCTGCTTTTTCCTTTGCAAAATATGCGACAAAATCTGTTTGTGATATTGAAAAAATGTCTTAAGACATTAAAATGTATAAATAGAACAACAACTTTGGCAAAGAAAAAAATCACAAAAAATCTACAGTATTTATAACTACATACAAAAACACAACCGCAAAGAAAAAAAAATGATAATCAGGCAAATGCATCCTCATAGCTTCGCTGCATCTTTGCTATCAATTCTCATTTTTAAGAACACTTCCCAGATAATGAGAGCAAAAAATTGCCGTAGAACAGAAAATGATGTTTGGGAGGTCTCAACCTACTTCTCCTTTCTCCTAGATTTCTCTTACTCTTAATTCCAAAGCACTTACCTACCACCCTTTTAACCTACTGTGTTACCAATGGGAGGGGCAGCTGAGAGAGGCCCGTCTCCTTTTCCTTCTTGGAGGGAAATGGGAAATGCCTGCCATCTTGCCCTTGTCAGCATTGTGAGGGCCAATGGGAAGTCCCCGTTAGGATGAGTAAACTTTTACCTTGTAAATGGCGGGGGTGTAAGAGGATATTTTGGCTTGATAACTGGAGGCATAATGTGGAATTCCGTGCCTGGACCCTGTTCCATAGAGATTCGAAGGAGGTTCTCACACAGTCCGTGTGCCACCAAGCTCTCAAGAGGCCATCGGCTTCCAACGGAGTTGACATAATTAAAAGTGAGAATGATCTCAGGTTTAAATATGCAGATTTTTTTTTTTTTTTTTTTTTAACAATCTGTCTAGAGGCACTGGATTTTTGTGTTGAAGGGAAACGTGCGATCACGTCACGGTCACTTTTTGACTCTCCAGGCTGCATTTATTTACACAGTTACTTAAGACAACGATACGAAAAGAGAAATAAGCTTGCACTGCTAAGGGGTGGCATGTTAAGTTAGATACTGAAAATGCAGTGTCTGAGCTAACTACCATTTGATATGCTTTAAGGCGCAAAAGCCAACTCTTAGTTTTCTAAAAAATCTAACTGGCATTCCTATTCTGTCCCATACAAGCTTTTTTTTAGTTTTCTTTTTTCTTTTTTTCTTTTTTTAACTTTTTTGTAAATATCACCACTTCATTCTCCCTTTACACCGCTTTAAAAACATCATAAATTAAAACATGGGGTCTTATTTATAGTGTCCCTTGTATACAGCTTTACGGTTTATAAAAGACAAATGACCGCAGAGTTAAGCTTTAAAAAAAAGAAAAGAAAAGAGGATTTGCTTTTATCAACACAGAATAAATATATCCCCCAAACATCTGGGAGGTACAACTTGAACCAACACCCTGCACTAACAAGATCCCTTCCAACTTCAGTATTTGCAAGGTCGGTGATATTGTTTGTTTAAAAATCTGCAGTTATTGTGACTCCTCTGAAAAAGGCCTGAGTTAAAAGTTCCACTCTGGGACTTGTATCAGATTACTCTCTGTAGCAGAATCCAACCTCTTCATTAATAAAATTCTTCAAGGCAATTCTTTCACATGGGAGGAACAATCATGCCAGATATCGCTGTGGAAAGAGAAGACAAAAGTCAATGGTTTGCCTCCAAACTTCTCACCAAAAAAAGCAAAAACAAACCAAAGTAAAAACAAAACAAAACAAAACAAAAAAAACCCCACACCACTGTGTTGGTTGACTATTCACCACAAAAGTGCTCTTCTCCTCCGTGGATTGAGTTTTTGTATGGAATATACAGGTATTTTATTAGGAATGATAATTACTATGCCAGCCTGGGTATGTGTCTTGAACAGAACAAATCTAAACACTCCTCCAAGTCTGATTTCCATTCTAAAACATCGCTGGGAAGGGGCATCATTTGAAAACTGCTGGGGAAGTCATAGCCCCAAACCTTGTAGAAGAGTAAGATTTTTCTATTTGTCACTCTTTTCTTTCTCCTTCACTTGCAGAATCTAGGATGAAAACCTGGTCCATCCCAACTGCCAGCACTTTCACAAAACACCATGGGGTATCTCTGTGCTCTGTTAGCTCCCAGACTGATGCCAGCGCCAGCAACCCAAGGCAGGGCAGCTGCCACAGGGCCTGGGAAATTGGGAAGAAGAGGAGGAGGCAGAAGAGGAGGAGAAAGCAGGTATGCATGAAACTCTAGAATGTCTCCTATACCACCACTTCATCCAGGCTGCTAGAATGGTCTGCACCTGCCCCTAGAGAAATATAGCCTTGGAAAGCTGGGGTGAGATCCTGGGAAAAGGGAAGGCTGTCAATGTCATCAAAAATCTCTCCCAATGCTCAGTTAGGAGGCCACATGGTGTGTTCAGAAGAGCAGGGAATCCCATAGACCGGCTTTCCACCTTCAGCCTCCCTGCTTGCTGAGTGTGGTCCCAGAGGTATCTACTAGAAAGTGTAGCTCGTTGGCATTTGCTGAGGCTGTGATACTGCCAGGCTTGTTGACGATTTAAGTAAAACTACATATGGGAAGTGCCTGGCCCCCATTCAGCTCCTAGGCAAGACCTCACAGGGATTAGTCGCTATTTTTTCTAACCCAAACTTCTGTGTAACTGAGCTGTGTGACCTTGGGTTAGTTGTTTAACTTCTCTGAGCTGATTTCTCTGAGCTGATTCCTCTGATATCGAATTAAGTACCCTGCCACCCAGCACACTTTACATGATGAGTGTGAAGAATACAGGGGTGTGTCTAAAACATAATTAGTGAGGGTGGCAACTTTGAAATATGCAGAGATGAGAGCAATGCTTTCATGAGAAGCAAGGGGCGGCCATCACTATCTCTTAAGGGTGGTTTAGCATGCTGTCGAGAGGTCATTGTTTTCTTGTTGTTGTTTTTTTATTGGCAATTCTACATTTAAATTAATGTTCTTATCAGTGGTGACTGCATCTAGGAAGTGACTCTTTTCATTTCCCAAATCTCATGTTTGGAGGAATGTGCCATTAAAAAACACATTGAACCCCAATTAACACACACTGCAGTAAACAGGGGGAGGCTAGATGGGGCTCGGAGCCCTGCAGGGTAAGGACTGGGGGCGCGGGAGGAGGCACACACACCCGGTGCCTCTCCTCCCCCACCCCTGACATTTTAAATTCAATTAAAAAATAAGTATTTTGCCAAACACTTTTTTCGTTAATTTTTAAACCCATCTGTATTCACAAGGAAATTTAATCCACATGTTTCTGATTCATTTACACGTAAATCATCCAAATGTTGTTTTGCAAGAGCCAGTTTGCAGTCCAAAAGCTCCTGGAGCCTTTTTCTTAAGCCCTCAAAAGCCATTTTTCTTAGAAACAGGAAGTGCCTCTTGCCAAATGCAGACCAACTTAAACCCCCAAAGAGTTGGGATCAGTTGGAAATGCAGTCCCCCTAAGAGTCCACTGAGCCCTGTTTGAAACAGGGAGCTCCATATTTCAATCCAAGCTTAACTTGAGAATGCAAGACGTTCATAGCTCCAAAGGCGAGGGGTAGGGATTCTCCATGTAGTGCCTGCTCAGCACCCCCACTTTCACGAGGATCTTTCTGTCCAGGCTGGAGGTGAGCCCAGTCACTCTTAACAAAGGCAGACCTTTCTGAGATTATGGCAAAAGGAAGCAAGCCGCCTCCTGCCTCCCCCCACAAATTTACCGAGTTGCCTGGCCTTGAAGGGCAATTTCCCCACAGCACAGCCAGGTAGCGGGGCAGAGTCAATATGGTGCAAAGCAAAGTGGAAACTGACAAGCTTTCTGCTAATTTGGTCAATGGATTCAGCCATTCAGCCACCTTTGATCACTTGGGGCCTGAAATGATCCCATTTGGATGTGCAGAAGTGGAAAAAAAAAAAATCTAAGCAGTGTTTTGGTTCCTGGCATGATGTGTTAGGATAATTATATTAAACCTCCACCAGGGCCATGTTAATTATTATAAAGCAAGGCTAACTGGTGTGCTAGCCCACAGCTAACAGCCCTTCTTAATCTGGAATGCAGGGATGGCCAGCTCCAGTGCCCCGAGAGCCCAGGCTGGAAGTGCCCTGAGCAGGGCTTGAGCTGACTCCGCCCAGGGCACACCTCCTGTAGAGGGGCCAGGGACTCAGCTCCCACCAAAGGTCGCTGGGCAGGATTGCCTCCTCCGAACCACCAGTGCTGAGCTATCTGAAGACAAGGTAAAGGTGTGGATTTAAAAGACTAAATAGCTCAGTTTACATAGGGTTGGCAAATAACTAAAATCAAACAAGCAAACATATCTGAGGCTATCCAGCAGGTGGCTTTGGTTTGCCACACTTCCCTGGCCCTCAGACCTCTCTCCGGAAGAAGTCCCATGTATACCTACACCCAGAATCCTGCACACGCCATCGGGGTTACAGCTCGCTCTATCTTGCCTGTGACTTCCTAAAGTCCAGTGCAGAATCCTCACTGAGGGGTGCATGCTGGGAAAACATCGGTGTTTGTGGCCTCTGAGCTCAGACATCTCTAAAGAGGCCATTTCATACACAAACTTCACTGCAGACTGCAGGGGTGCCCCGGAGCTATTTGCCCGTGTCTGTGCTGCAATCCTCAGCATTGCTTATGTGTGTTAGAGGGCTGGGTGTCTAAGGCTTGGAATGTTCCAGAAATGCCACTGGCATGTTGGGTTACCCAAGATCTCCATGAGGACATGACACTCTCAGAGAGCCCCACGGGCCAAACTTATCACAAGACGGAGGGCACTGCCGTCCTTCCCAGCAGCTGGGTGGCCATGTCCAGTGACAGGAGCCCAGAGGACTCCTGTGTGAAAGGCAGTGCTCTCTTTTCAGAACAGTTTTCACGTTCGGTAAGAACAAAGCAAAACAGAACATTTTGCAGAGCTGGGGACTCTTGAGTGGGAGCTTCCTTGAACCACCATGTGAGTAAGAATTAGGAGCTGACCAGGAATAGAATAAGGAAAGAGCTTACACAAATGGAACAAATGCTAAAAAAAAAAAAAAAAAAAAAAAAAAAAAGACAATTCCAATTCCACGGGGTTCACTACTGGACAGCATGGCACCCCAATTGGGTGGGCCTGGCCAGTCTGAGTTTCAGCCAAGCTGGGGAAGAAAATCAGTATGAGGATGTTCTGGTCTTTTGTTTTATATATACTATATATGTGTTTTGTTTTTCTCACTTGTTATTTTTTCCTTTGCTCTTCACAGAGAGTGGAGAGAAACACTTCAGCTGGTTGCCTCCTGACGTGCCCAGACTATGGACAGGGAGTGGACCTACAACCCAGGTACGTGTCCTTGACCAAGAATCAAACCCACAACCCTTGAGTATGGGCCAGTGCTCTAACCACCGAGCATACCAGCCATGGTCAGCCTTTCATTTTTAACTTTTTATTGTCCAGATGGTCAGGGACTTGGTTAGGGTTTGAAATCACAACACTGGGTGGAGGAGATGGTGCCAGCCTTCTCCGGGCTGCCCTTCTCTTGATTAATGAAGTCCTTCCTCTAGGACTGAGATTGCAGAGAAACCCTGCTGGGGTCTGTGGCTTTGGGAGAAGGGGAGGATGGCTCCAGGACAATGAGCATGCTAGGTGACTCAACTCTTCCTATGAGAGCGGCACGCTGGGGAGTCTAGCATTGGGACTTACCAATGGCTAGAGGGAAGATGTCTCTGCCTTTCCCAAAGTTTTTTATGGATGTTCACTGGTTTTAACATCTGGAAAGGGTTCTATGGGCAAAAAAGAGTTCTATGGGAAAATGTTTGGTTGTTTGGCTTCAGGATGTCTCAGGACCCTCCGTGCACTTTGGTGCATTATGGATCCCCAAGCCAGCAATTCAGTAAGGATCATTTTCTAGACGTGTTTCACCACAACATGTAAACCGGTTTTTAACAGAATATCTTCTGAGGCTCCAGAAGGAATGAGATTAAGAGTCACCTTGTCCTAAAAAAATTTCTCAAAACATATGGTAAATTGTCAAAGGTCTTGCCTCCCTGAGAAAGCCAGCTGGGATCATAGTGGAAACTCTGGGCGAATGACTGCTTATGAAGGACTTCGTGCACCAGGATGCTGGGGGGCTTATGGTGACTGCACATGACTCTCTGGCTCAGTTTCCCTAATCCTCTGCTTCAGTGCCCCTTCCTCCGTGTCCCTTTGCCCAAATCCTACCTGCCCTTCACCCACAGGCCATTTCAAAGGCTGGTAGGCATGCTCTCTAACCTTTCCCTTGAGCTTCCACAGCACGGTGCCCAGCCTCCCCCGAGACAGACCTGCTTTCATTCCTGTGGTGTTTGTTGCGTTGATCTTCATAGGAAACTTTTTAAGGTCAGGACGGTGTAGTCTACATGGGCCTAACTCAGAGGCTTGGCTGTAGTGTAGGCATAAAGCATAAGGATTTACAATGGTCGGTCTGCCCACTTGCTAGCTGTGTAACACTCAATGAGCTATGTTGGCTATAAGTCTCGGTTTCTGCATCTGTAAAATGGGGACAATAAACAGTGTACACCAAAGGGTGGTGGGGAGGTTGAGACAATGCAGAAGCCAGGCTGGGATCAAGCTCTCCCATGTGAGTGGCTGTGATCATCCTAACCTCCATCCTGGGAGGCTGCTATGCTTCTTTCTCGGGGAAGAACCGGGCTTTGAGGCTAAGGAAGGGATAAGGTCTTTAGAATTTGGCTTTATAGGAAAAAAAAATAGGATGGTACAGTTAGCAGAGTGGTGGAGGTAATAGGCCTTTAAAATACTTACGCAGTCTATGTGTGTCACTTCTAATCTTGTTTACATGGTCAATTTGCTTAACCAACTCTTCCCATGTCACTTGTCCTGCCTTAATGAGCACAATCCTGAACTAGGGGGTCCAAAGGAAGCAGGTGTTACTGTAACTATGAGAAGGAGAAGGAGGAACGTAACATGCCAGAAGTTCTTACCTGCAATTCTACAACTCACTATGTCCTTTTCTACAGAAGAGGTGGGGTTCAGAAAGCAAAAGATGAATTAATTCTTTGGTTCTAATTCTAGGAGCCCAGAGTCTGACTGTCACCTGGGGGAAACCCAGGCCCCACGCAAGAGCTTCCTGGATTGTGCGCAGAGTGTGTAGGGGCCCTGCCAGGTGAGTATCTTGGTTGGGAGTGGAGCAGGCAGGGGATAAGATGGATGGCATCAGAATTGACTTTTAATTTCTCTACTCATACCTCCCCTACAGCCACCCCTCAAAAGTAGGGACACTTGGTCCATGACAGTGTCAGAAAAACAACCACCAGCAAGAATCTCCTAGATACATGTTCAATCAGAGGGAAAGGGCAGTGCACTCCAGAGTTACCCTCAAACCCTCCATGCTCTGCATCTTAGAGAGGCAGTGGATAACCATAAATAGGAAGGAATCTCATTACTTCTGGAGTTTGTGTAGACCGGGGGAGGGGGGAGGATGCACAAACCTAGTATGTGTCCCTGTCTTAAAGCCCTTTCATTGTTACACACATCCCTATACTACCAGATGTTCCTTGAATCCAGAAGTTCTAAAACCTGGGCCAAATCCCCATTTTCCACCCCTTCTTTCTCCTGCCTTGCTCAGCATGACATGAAAAGGTGATCAGTACTACCTGTGTGACCTTGAGCAAACTGGGCCTTAATTTCCCCATCTCTAGGGATAGTGATGACCTTATAGAGTTTTCAGAATCAATGGAAGGTTCCACCAAGGTAAAGTGTCCAGCACAGAGTATATGAATATAAATATACATGCACTTACACATGAGAAGCAGGGCTGAGAGGTACCAAACAAGTCTGCTGCCCTCCATCAGTAGCCAGGAGTGTGACAACCACTGAAGGGAGGCACTATAGGGAGCTGTGTAGGTCAGGGGTTTGGGCCACCGACCCTGCTGGGTTTACATTCATCCCCACACTTGACTGGCTTGGCCTGTGAGCAGGTATTTACTCTCCTTATGCTTCAGTGTTACCATTTGCACAACGGAGACCATAATAGCCCTCCTATTTCATCAGGAAGATGTGGGGATCAAGTAAGACAAAGCATGCTCAGTCTTTAGCACATGCCTCTTGTGTGATGAACAAATGGTAGCAGATCGTTTAATTGATCATTTAATATTTCTCTGCCAGATGCCTGAGGGACCCTGGGCACATCTGTTTTACACTCCAACCCCCCAAGTAGTAAAGTGCCTGGGAGATGAAGACAGGAGATGAATGTTTGAGCCTGAGTTTGAAACCGGCTTGGGCCACACCAGCTTTTGGAGATCACACACTTTGACGGTGAGTACCTATCACACAACCTGGTGTGGGAAAAAGAACGAGATGGTGCAGGTCCTCACCACAACACTCTATAAGGTCATCACTATCCCTAGAAAAATGTAAGAAGTGGTGGACTCGTTTTAAAACTGTGTGCTTTTTTTCTCAATGAGCCAAAAGGTCACTTTAACTCTTGGTGACTCAATTGTTTTCTATATTACATGACAGGGAAGAGACTGAACAATTTTAATGAATACTCTAGTGGTGTTTTGGGTTGCCAGTAGAAAGTCTTGAGCTTTTGTCCTATGCTGCTCTAATGTCAGGGCTCTGATCAGGCCGTGGCTCACCCCTTCCCTGTTATCAGCCCCACACACATTCATCCTGACACAGCCAACTGGAAGGGAAGGTTGAGTGACCTCCTTCAGGAGAAGGCTAGTCCTGAGAGAGACCCTGCAGTGGAGAATTTGCTAGAGTTCACAAAAGACTAGTCTGATTATAGCGACCACAGGGAATGAAAGAGGAGAAAAGAAAAACGATGGCATTAGTAAATGGAAACAGTATTCTCGAGCAAATCCCGGGCGTTAGCAAGAGGGCTTCTAAGGCAGACACAGTAGAGGAGGGCTGTGGCCAGGGCCAAGGAGAGTGAACACAGAAGAACAGAAGAGATGAGGGCAAAGAGAAGCTGGTGCCCTCCGCAGCAGAGACACATCTGCTTCAGGCCTGGGAGGGTGGAGTCAGGGCTTACCTTGCAGGCTGTTCCCATTGGTGCTGGTGCAGGTGGGAGGCGGGGAGGTCTGGGGTCTGACGACTGGTGCGAAAGCACTCTTCTGTTTCACGGCGGAGACCATGTTGGCTGGTGAGAAGGAGAAGATGCCGGAGGAGCTGCTGCAGTTGGAGGGGAGGCTTGTGGAAGAGGCCATGGTGGGGCTGGATGGCACGACTGGGAGAGGCAATGGGAAAGCAGAGATTAGTAGTTCTCCTGGCATCTCAACACAAGGTGGCTCAGACTGCCCCTCCAGCATGAGCCTTCCCCAAACGCTCAGGAGCTGGTCTGCTTTCATCATCATTTGGTGCAGGTACTTGGCATGTGCTACCTTTAGTTGGTGTTGATCTCCTTTGGGTTTATTGTGTGCCAGGAGCATGCTAGGCACTGAGGTGCCCCAGGCCAGGGAACAACGTGCTCTTACAAGGATTAGGGTAGCACAAAATAGCAACAAAAGTGAGCCTGGCGAACTCTATAGAGATAGGAAAGGGAAACCAGAGAAGGCTTCACAGAGGAGATGTCAGGGAAAGCATTCCTGGTGGAGCCTAACCTGAGGTTCTAGCAAAGGGGTTGGGGATAAGAGGTAGAAGGAGGCCAACCTGAGAGTACATGGTCATTGCCATAATGAGAGGGTGTGAGGAAGAAGAATGACTGCGGGCACTGACATCGGGAGGTGCGTATGTGTGGGTCCCATTTCTCCCCATGATTGCATGGGTTCTTTAAGAATATGATTGCACCTTGATACTCCACAGCACAGAGATAGGTGGGTAGGAGGCAAGGTGGACAAGTAGACTGTCACATGCAACCTTTGTAGCTAGTGCAGAACTATATACAAGTCAACATTCCAAATCCTGTCTAGCCCCCATGAAGTGGAATGTAAATGATTGTGAATTAAGAAGCAGTGTGATAGGAGGAGTCTTATGTAAATACTCCCAGTCAAGTAGAAGTGGGAATGTGGATAATCAATGACGGGAGAACTGATGTGGGCAATTCAGAGAGAAAGAACACCTAGCTGCTTGGGAATACGAAAGAGTTTGGGAGACAACACCTTCTCTACCAACAATAGTCCTCTCATCTTTCGATTACTTTAGGAGACAGATTTTGCACCCACTAAGTCCTCTACAACTCAAGACTAGTATCTCCATCTATTCCCCTTCCAGCTCCATCATCTCCTGGGAAGAGTATGAATGCTGCCCAGTGATTCCCAGGCACTTAATTCAAATTCTAGGTACTTCCTTCTACTGTGTTATTTCTCCTATTATGTCATGAACGTTATCTATTGCTTTATCATTGGCCAAGCAAGTTAAGTTGCGGCCTATTACATCCTTTTTACATCTGAGCCAATGGAGCCAGCTGGAACTCAGAAAACAGTAACGTCACTAGCCCAAGGGCCATTGCTGGAATGGCGAAGCCAGGAACCACACCCTAACTCAGTGCTCTTTCTACCACACTGTCCTGCAGAGGAAAAAGAGCCAGGAGAAAAGCCTCTCCTCCCAGGAACCCACCAGACTCCCAGGGGCTGCGAAGGTAGGCTTACCCTTGGCCTATTGACTTGAGAAAGTGGGAAAGAATTGGTCACAGGCAGCAATTGCCAGTGGGGAACTGAACCCTCGCAATGGGCTCTCAGTGGCACACAATCACAATCGAAAGCCCTGAATGCTTTACACAGCAGAACACACAGCCGCCATCCTCAGAGTTTCCACAAACATTTCCTAAACTGTACTTTTTCTTTTAATGAGGCCAGAATTTTTATACATCTCTTAGGATTTGTAAATGTGAAAATACGCTCAATAATAACACCCATTTAAATTGCAAAACCCCTGCACTGGAGGTTTGGTTTTTAAATATTCCTAGACTGGAAATCCTGGTTTACCGAGGAAGGCAATTAATCTCATTGGCAAATAAGATGGTGATGTGTATTTAGGGGTGGGGAGTGTGAACAGAGAGAGGGATGAGAGTTAGTCAAGCAGTTCCGTTTGTTACAACGTTATTAGTTACTAGCCTGCACACCAGAAAGTGTGCTAACCAGTGGAATATCTTATTTTACTTTTTTTTTTTTTTATCCTGCAAGGGATTTTTCAACAAGAGTGGTTTATGAATAATTAAGTCTTATGGAAGCAAAAATTTGAATCTGCTGGGCTTGGTGTTTATTGATTTATTTGCATTTATGCAGATGAAACCGTCCCATCTGAGAGCTTATTTGAGAATTTAATACTATATTTGTGAGCACTAAGGAAATCAATTAATGGAAATTAAGTGTTTGAAGTTTCCCGGGCTGACAGATGCAATCTCAACCTGAAGTTGCTCAGTGTCTGCACGGGCTTGAGAAGATGGAGCAATCCAAGCACCTTAAATTGGATTGCTTCCATATAGCAATTAGTTTATTGATTTAATTAAGAGTGCCACCTTTTAATTTTCAGGTCATGATGGAAACATTTTCTGATTGAGTAGATGGGAGAACACTGAACTGATAGATCTATGAGGAACAACCTTCCCATGAATCAAAATCTACGTGGAACTGGCCCTCACCGTCGACACTCGAGCAGACAGACATAATGTAAGCACGTTATTGGGGAGAAATTCTAAATGTTCAACCTGCTGATGATTCCAAACAAAGAAGAACTATTTAGCTACACTGAGCCCAGAATGCAAAAGGCCCTCAGTAGTGCTTTCAGAAATAACTTTGAAACTTTCTAAGGATTATCACTCTCCACATTTCCACCATAAGAGACAGCATCACTTTCAATATTTTTAGCTAAACATGATTTTTTTAAAAAATCATGAATATTCTTTCATTGAACAATACATCTTTTATCATCCTCTTTTCCTACAAATTCCTAAGAGTTTGGCCACATTTCCCACAACAAGGGTCAACCACACTGTCCAAGATGAGCTTGGTTGTCTATATAAATATCCTCTGAGGGAGACAAAGAGAATGTAGAGACACATCACATGACATTTTACATGCAACCAATTCATTGAGGCTTTTTAGGTACAATCTAAATGTGGTACCAAAAAATACCCTAAGGTACACTTCTTTAAGACAAGAGCCAAGAACATTTCTTGTGTCTGTGCGTGTTTCCTGTGCCAGGTTTTTGGAAAAAATAAAAGTGTATTTTTTTCATTGGTTGGTGTGTTTTTTTAAGTGCATATCAAACACAAAGGGGGGAAAATTCCAACAATTAAAATAACAAAGGAAATTAGATTTCCCCAGAGCTGCCAGAAGGAACCCAGTCCTGCCAGCCCATTGTTGACCTCTGACCTCTAGAACTCAAGGTAATAAAGTTGTGTTGTTTTTAGGCACTAAAAATAAAGGAGTCATATTCCTAAAGGAAGAGAGTTTAAGTTTTAGACTATTGTTATTGTGCTATAGTATTACCTGCCTCCTCACTATTATCATTATGACTAGTACTTAGATTCACTGCATGTGCCTCTCACGGGACAGGGACAACTCATGGCATGCATTCTTTTATCAAAGTCTCACAACAATTCTATGGGGTGGAAGCTAGTTTCTTCCCATTTCACAGACTAGAAAACTGAGACTTGGAGAGGAGATCAGCTTTCTGGGGCCACCAGTTAGTGACCTGTCTCCATCTGATTCTAAGCTTGGGTTCTTGCCATAATATCATACTGCTGCTTTGGGTTGCAGCAAAGTTCTGATGGTTAGGGCGGTTTTGGGGGGAGAAAGGTGAGCCAGGGAGGCAGTGGTGTCTGATGGAAACAGTTCTGCCCCAGCAGCAACACCTGGGTCAATGCTGGGCTGGCAGGGCACTGACCAGAGAGCTGCACAGTGGGCCACACAGCACAAAGCTGAGTTCCCTGCAGAAAGCATGCAGAAACATAGGACACATGTCTGTACTTACTGGCATAGGGCGAGTTGGCAGCCGAGCCATTGAGGAAGGTCGGGGAGCCACCCAAATTGGACATGGCGGCTGTGCCATATCCATTCATGCTTGTGGTGACAGAGTTATAGTTGGTCTGCTGGGGGGTGGTGCTCGGCACGTACCCGTGTGGTGAGACGCTGCTTGAGTTGCGGGTGAAACCTGAGGGGTGGGGACAAAACCAGGGGTGAGGGTGGCAGTCCTGGAAGACGGGACAGGGAATGGCTGCCCCACATTGCGCCCCGGAAAGAAAGGACTGGTGATTCACAGGAGTGGCTGGTGGTGCTGGCTCTGATTAAAATGGGAAACCAGCAAAGGCGCATTTCTTAGGAGATCATAAATACTTAGCAGGGCCCATAAATCGTCATTTTGGAGCAGAAATAAATCCCAATTTACAAGATGTACCCTGAAGTGAACAGGCTCCTATTCCCTGGGTACGGATGCTATGCGTTGGCCCTTCGGAACTTTCATTCCCGCCCTTCTTGCGGTCCGTCCCTCTTGTTTTATGGTGAGAAGTCTGATACATCGGTGGCTCTAGGCACACATCTCAACAGCCCCCTCTGCTAGCTTCCCTGACAAAATGCCACCATGGTGCCTGATGCACACTGACCAGGAATCTCCCTTTTGGTTCAGAGCTTTAGGTTTGGAAGGGACAGGGGAACAGGAAGGAGAAGAGCAGGCTCCTGACCCTGATTGGTGGCCTGGGAGGCCTCGGAGACATTCACGGCCAGTTGTCCACTGAAGGAGTTCACGCCCATCATGCCCGCATGGACCGAAGTGTTAGTGAGGGCCGGGAGCTGGCTGTGGTTGCGGGGGACACTGTATAGGGCCTCCGCGATGTCAGCCGCTCTCTTCAGAATAATCTCCTGGAAAGTAAGAGGAGCACCCCCATTAGCTACCCCATCACACCCCAGTGACACCACTATCAGTGGCTCACTGTGGACTATGCTCCGGGCTTCCCATGGATAACGGCATTAACTTCTGCACCTGCCTCTGCAAACCTTCGGGTTTAGTCTCTTCGTCGTCATTCTCATATCACAACTGGGGAAACTTATCTATTTAAGAACAGAGTTGGCCTGTAGAGCCCTGTCTGTCTGACTTGGGAAGACCATTATCAAAGCCTTCCCTCCACACCACCTGGCAGTCTATGACAGCTCCCTGGGAACACACAGGAACATGGAGGCTATACTAGTACACCATGCACCCAGCTCCTTCTCCTACTGAAGTTTAGGGCAGATTAGAGATAACTCTCTGGGTCCCTGAGTCTTGGTGGGACTGTGTCCCCTTCACGTTGACTCAGGTGGCACAAAAAGAGTGAATAATTTGTCTAACTCATACTTGCATCCTCATACAAGAATGTGCTCTATGAAATAGAGGAAGATAGTTATATTCAGATCTTGTTATACTTTTTAGGAGAAGAAATTAAACCCTTTTTTCCCCTTCTCAATTGGCTTGAAAACCCTGAGGAATAAAAAAAGCACCAGTAACTCTCTCCCTCCATCATGAAGCACATTCCCACAGAAGATTTCGTTTTAAACAGAATGCCTCTTCTGGTAAGGAAAATGATCACAGTAGAAAAGGCAATAAAAAAATTTTACAAAAGAAGAGAGAAGAATTGAATGGCTTTGCAATGTGATGTGTCTGAATGGCTTAAATGCTGAACTCGTGCAAGGGGCTTTTATACGTTCTGAATGTTTCCATTACACCAAGGAATCTGGGACCTCCCATTGAATGTGGAGCCCGCGTAGCTAGAGGCCCCATTCGCTCACCTGGTTGTTGTGTGGCATTCCATACAGCGCTTCCACCAGGTCCGCGGCCCTCTTGAGTATGACTTCCTGTTGGGAGAAGCAGACACAGGCCTTTGAGTGAAGACAGGTTGCCCTTATCCTGGCCACTCTCTGCCAAGGCACTGCTCTGAAGGCAGTAGCTCCGGGAACCCCTGAATGGTGCTAAATCACCAATTTGTCCCTGTTCACATACACACTTAATTGAGTCAAAAGGTGAGCATCGTTGGTGTTGCAAGATAAAATACATCATTCAAGCGCCTGCCATAGGCACGATAAAGCGCTCATGTGTTTATTGCCAAATACAATTGCGAGGTCATTTACTGGATGACTACAATCGATGTCATTCAGTGCATGTTATGAATCCCTAAGATGCGTTTATTTTGCACTTAATTGCTTATTCCAGGCACCATGACCTTATCAGACAGGTCATTTTCGAGGGATTTCCAATCAATCTTCAGCTACTAGAAGCATGTAGCATTAAACTTCTTTATCTCCATTGTGTGGCACAATCTGGACATAAGGGGGTGACACAGTCAACCCACACACCTCGGCCACGCACTGCTCATCGAAGGCTCTCACCAAAGGGGTCTCCTGCCCCCATGAGCTCCCTCTGCACACGTTCTCATGACCAGCAGTGTCTCCTTGGTAGTGATTCTTCTCTATTCCAGGATTGTTAGCATCTTCCCTATCTGCTCATTCATTCTCATCCGAGATCTATGCTCTACTGTTCCCTCCCCTCCCCATTGAAGAAAATGTATCTCCATCTTTTCATTTAGGTAGGCTTCGACATTTAGCTTGCTTGCTTGTTTCCAATAATATATGGCACTCCACAAAAGTGTGTGTAGTGGTGATTTTTTTTTTGTTCTGACCAAAAGCAATATTCCCCTCTTCATTTTGCCCTGATTTTTTACAGATTCATTTATATTGTAAAAAATTCATTTATATTGTGATCCATGTCGAATGGAGGCTTATCAGAGAACCAAACCTAAAGGCATGCATCGCTATCAGAGGTGACTTTGCAAAAAGACATGTTTACAATTTTTTTTTTTTTTTGCTGTGGGTAAAAGTTTCAAAAAGAAGTCTCACTTTATTTTACACAATCAATTTCTGCATGGCGACGTAATTACAGCTCCCTTTTCATACACCGGAGATGCTGATCAGAAAATAGGGACATAATTGCATTCATTTTGCCGTCACCATAGCCTCTTCAAAAATTCTAGACCGAGTCTTGAAATGACAAGCTCTTAGATGCATATTAGCATTTCTCAATGTTAACTTCTCCATAATACAAGATAAAATAGTTGTCATACTACAGTAACTACTATTATATATGTCCTAAATTTAAAAATGAGGAAGAGGGTTTTTCAGTTCCTTAATAAACATTTATGCTTGCCTTAAGCTGCTAGACCCCATTTACAAAAAACAGTCCAGTTATTTTTCATAGCAGGAGTGAAAAGTATTATAGAATCAATGGGGTTTGAATCAATACATCTGAAATAATTCCTCTATGTTTCTAATGCAAGCAACCAGCTAATTTACAGCCTTTTGTTTGCAGTATTGTCTGACCACAGCAGTTAATAATTCACCGCGCGATGGGCATGCTGAACCCTAGCCGCAGATCAAATTCAGCTCCGCTGCTCTCTCTGGAACCTTGCAGCTTCCTCTGGCTCACAGGGAAGATGAAAACAAAACAAGACCCAGATAGTTTACTTGCTAGGATTTTACTTCTCTGGGTCTGTGCTCCGTTATTTCTTTAGAAACATATTTATGCCAGTGTTTTGGGGGTGGCAGGCAAAGTGTTTTTTCTTCCTTTTCATTTTGAGAAAAAACAATACAAGTCTCCTGTTTGTCAAGAGCCATAAGACTGGTGGTTTTTATACTTGTGAGCGCTGGTATCCTTGAGGATTTCAAGCGGTGCTTCCTAACTTATTTAATTAATTGCACAGAACCAGGGAGGAGGGACAGTCAATATAAACCCCAAGATCTTTGAAGTTTTTGTGAACCTGAAAAAAAGGCCAGCTACCCATGGTACTATGTGTTTTAATCTCATATATATATTGTGTGATAAAGGATTATAATGATTTAATCCATGTGGATTTTTCCTCCTGTCGATACCCAGAGCTTTCCTCACCATTAATCCTTTGAAAATGGAACACCCGAATCTTGTTTCCTAAGGTTGACTCCTTCTTTGATCCGTGAAGCTGGGCCATGCTTTGCAGCCTGGCTCCCTGCTATGGGTAGGTCAGTGGCCCCACACAGCTTCAGACCAGCCGTCTCAAGGAGGTGAACCTGGGTTATCACTTCAGCGATGTCCTTAAATGATATCTCTCCCATTTCAAAACGCACTGCGGCATCCACTGTGGGATTCACAGGAGAGCCCGCATCTTGGTCCTGCTTTGCCCATGTGACTTGGCTTCTATTAGTTATTTCCAAAAATGGGAAGGAGAAAGGAAACATCCAGGTCCTCTATGAGTGAGTGCCATGGGCCTGCAAGGTGCTTGGATTTCGGTGACCAGAAAATTGCTCTCACCTCCATGTCATTACGCTCCCAGGGAACTAGCCCCCAAGCGTGTTTGTGTTGGGATCTAATATATTGCCTTTCAATCAGGGCTGAGAGCCCCTGAACACACCGACAGAACATGACGAGCAGGTCAGGAAAGCAATAAAGATTTTACAGAGCTGTCCAAGGTGCTAAATTTACTCAATAATGGGTTTGGCACCATAGTGTTAACCTCTCATTTACTACCAGTTTGAGGGACTAAATTGAAGTAGCTGACTTCATTTACCTTGAAATGTATATTTTATGACATTATGTAAGTAGATGGAAAGGGCACTGCCGTTTTAACAATTTAAAGGCTAGAGCCCGTTTAAGATGAAACTTGAATATTTATTGTATATTGCACTTAAAGTATATAGAATGTTAAAATGTATTGATTAAATTTGTAAAAGGCATTATAACAATGACAGGTAGTATAAAAGATGTATGCCTTTTAAAATCAAATTGATAGTGTGTGCTATCTTTTCTGTGGTCACAAGTGTAATTTTTTTGCAGTTTTATAAGGTAATTGGAAAAATCTGTAATTTCACATTAGGAAATGATTGAGCCTGGGATATGGGGAGGGGGATTTCCTATAAGGGGAAGAGCTGGATGTTTCATATCATCTTTGTCTCTGAAATTGTTCCTCAAGTCTTAGTTTTGTGGCATTAGGAGGGAGCACGGAATAAGGATCCTTCCACTCTAATATGCAATTTTAATATTTCTGGGAAGAAAGAGCACTTGACTAGTACTAATAACTAATTTTTCAAGGCATTTATTTGTCAGGAGAGATTTCCTCTTCTTTCATAATGTTTGAAATGTCTCCCTGCTTGCAGTTTAAAACATGAGGGTAGAGATTAGATTCTTCCAGGATAATTAATCCTATCTTTGGATTTTTAAAAAATACCCCATAGGGGAATTAAGACAAATACTAGATCCTAAATATTGAAAAGCCTGGGAGTCTCCTTACAGAGCTCGTGCTTGTTCTCAGTTTCATCTCGAGTTGGACTATTTTTTTTCTTTTCATGGCCTTGGATTTCTTCTCTATTAAAGAAACAGAAAACATTTACTTCTTGGAAACAACAACTTTCCTCTCACAATTAAAACCTGGTTGCACCTGTCTCGCCATGAGTGTCAGTTGATAATTATATGAATGGGGGTTCGAAGATAGACAAAATGGATAAAAGTAAATCTATTTAAAGTTTACAGACAACCTGAGAAGACAGAAGGGCAAGTGGAGTCCTGAGAAATAGCCCAAGTGCAATTGTGCCAGGTTTTACTTGGGTTTGGAGCCTTTGTCATAATAATGAGGAGTGGGGTACAGATACAGAGGGAAGATTCTGCTATGTTCCCTGTGTTGCAACTCAATCAGTCAGCAAATATTTTTTGAGCCTCCTGTGGCCCTAGTGGTCACACACTGATGACTACTTGCTCTCCAGAACATTTTAGAGCACACTGTCTTCCCAGAATCAAGGTACAGGGTTCTACAGAGATTACAAAAAATTCCCCCCAACAGTCTGCTCCTACCCTCTTTATCCAATCTTATCACCCTGCACATATAAAGAACTGCTCACTATCCTGGTCTAGCTAGTCTTCCTCACCTGGGAGTAAAATGTGGGGCTCCTTCCTCTCTCCACACATTCACTCCTTCTGTCTCTCCTGTATTTTAAATGCTGGCTTCAAGCTGCAAAAACTCATTCCCACCTTCTAAAGCTTAGTAACTATGGTGGTGGTATAACAATGACAAAGATAACTATGATTAACTGAAAGTGGAACACTGACTCATTCAGAGAGCCTGTTAAGATATTGTCCATATCACCATTTCACAGGTGAGGAAACTGAGGCTCAGAGAGGTCAGCTAGCTTTCCCTGAGTTTACACAACTGATAAATGACTGAGCAGGATTTCAACCCCATGCCTGTTAGACATCAGAGCCTGAGCTTTTGAGAATTAAGTGATTCTCTTGGAATAAATCCTGCCTTCACTGGTACCCCAGCTCCTAATCTCTCTCATTCTTCTGAAAAATAGTGCTGACTGTACCACCCAGCACAGCAGTACAAGCATCATTCTGCTACAAGGGTCATTCTGCTCTGCTCCCAAGTATGTGAGTGTTTGCATTCCACACTAGGCTGTAGGTTCTTTAATTCCAGTGATGTGTCTTAGTCTCCTGCTCTCAGCCTCTAGCACAACATTTACCAAATCAAGGGACCTGAGAAATTCTTGTTGAAGAGTTTATTCTAAGATAATGATTTTTAAAAGTGCATGCTTAGTTTACATGGTTAAATGGCAACGTTGCATATTTGGCAAGGTTTATAAAAGCAGGAGACTTAAATTTGGTGCTCCTTTGGGCTCCAGACTTTTGAATCCAATATATAAATTCCCAAAAGTTAAGTCTTGATCACTGCGGGGATTTTTTTATGTCCCTTCTTTGTTTGGATTTACTCTTTGTCTCCTGCTGGCTTGCACTTACATTTTAATTTTGTGATTAAGTTAATGAATCATGTTGGGTACAG